TGGTGGGGAGCTGCTCACACAGCAGGGGTTCATCCCATCTGGGGTCAGAGGTTAAAGTGTATAAGTAAGGCCAATCCGACACCAACCCTTACGGTGACGACCCAGTCCTGCACCGTAACACAGAGAAACACACACACTGCCCACAGGAGGCAAATTCTCACTACGACAGCTTGCCCCCGCCACGCACATACGCTCGAGACACACACACACACACACACACACACACACACACACACACACACACACACACACACACACAAATACTTAACCAATTAAGTCCGCCGAGCACTATTTGCAGAGGATGGCGTGGAATTGTGCTGGAGTTGTGTCCGGCCTCATTAAATGTCAGACTTAACAATAGGGCACTTGGCAATCAAGGCTGCTCTGTGGCTGTTAGTCATTAATCACCCATCTGACAGTCCTGAATTGGGAACGAGGAACTGCTCACATGTGCCCCATGTACCTCGTTCCCTTCTTGGTAATCAGCTTCAGCGAAGTTGTTTTTTTTTTTTTTTGACTCCATGCCTGTGAGGGCCTCTGGTCTGGCAAGGGCCAGGGGGTCCCTAGGCTGGTCCTGCTCCTCCCCCTCCCCCAACACCACTGGGAGGAAAGCTGAGGTACAGGAGAGGTGAGCATATTGTTTTTGGCGCACTCTGCCCCTCCTAGGCATGTTTTATATAGCCTTGTTTTTCTGTTCTGGCCTCATGGGCAGGAAAATTATTATTATTTTTTCCCTGAAGAGATCCCAAAAGATGGGAGGGAGCTTGATTCCCGTCTAGAGACCATTGGGGTACATTTGTGAAGTGTATCTTTCCCAAGCTGCAGAGATAGACCCGACTTGCTGGAAGATGCGCTCCACTCATTCCAAATATCGCTTCCAGTGGGTCAGGGCGCATTTCAGCTTGCCCTCCAGGTCCCTCCGCAGAATTCAAAGGGCAAGGGCTAGTTTTCCTCTTGAGGTCTATTTTTAGCACATTTTCACAGTCTTATTCATTCATTTATGGATTTTTTTTTTTTTTTTTTTTTGGTTTTTCGAGACAGGGTTTCTCTGTGTAGCTTTGCGCCTTTCCTGGAACTCGCTTTGGAGACCAGGCTGGC